TTTTGCCAAATTTACTGTATCTGTGTAGATGGATATATGTATACATATGTTGCATATATAATATACATTACATATATAAAATTATTTAAAAATAAGTTGTAGCTACCACAGCTCTCTTTCTAAAAAACGTCAACACACATTTCCTAAGAACAGCTACAATTACATCTTAGAAAACTAATAATTCTCTACTATGCAATATTTAGACTATATTTTAATTAAAGGGAGAATATGAGCTAATCGAGGGATCCAGTTGGTTGCCAGACTCCTCTTCCCTGGACACTGTGCTCATCCTGTTTCTCCCCTGTGGAAGGGTGGCTCCACGTTTCTTACTGAATTAAGTCCAAACACTGAGAACCACCATTCAAGGCTTCTATGACTATGTGGATCTCACACTCCTAGCCTACAACATCACATTCCCAAATGCACTTACATGACATTTCTTGAGTTCTTACTGTGAGCCAGGCATTATCCTGAGTGCTTCATGTTCGCAGTCTCAGTTCCCACGGCTTTCTATCATCAACCCTCTACTCTAGTCGTAGTGTCTCTGTCTTTCCACACAACCCGTGCATAGTGATAGCTGAGTGGAGTCATCCTGTCACCCAAGCCTTTATAGGTATGTACGCTGGTTCACTAGCCTTCAGGCTGTGCTCCGCAGGTTCAGCCAGTGAGCCTTAGGAGCTGCCTCAAATGCTGAGGTTACAGCCGAGAAAGTGGCCATACGCCCCCTGTGGCTGCCCTCACTCCATCATCCAGAAAGAGTTATTGGTATCCTAGTGCTTTAAAAAAATGATTTTATAAACCATTAATGAAATCTGATGCAATCATTCTACACAATAAATGAAAGCAGGAAATAGTGAATCGATTTGCTCAAATATCAAAAACATGGTTTTGTGAGATGAACCTACTCCAGGTATATTTGACTCCACACCCTTCTAGAGTTTATGAAGGTTGTCACTGTGTCTGACGGATCCTCTAGCTCCTTTCTGGCTCATCCATACCCCCTGAAAGAACTGAGAGCATCTACAATTTCATTACCATCAAATCTTTCCCCAGCTGCCCAGAATGGTTGTCTTCTCTGGTCTCCTAGAGCCTTTAGACTGAACTGCACGCATGGAACACTTAATTTTGTACCCTGGAGTCTTTTTTTCCTCTTTTATGTGTTTTAGTTTTGTCTCTTCCCTCCAAGGTCAGTAGTACTTTGAAAGTCAGGAGAACAACTTGGCCTTTTAATTAGTTCACCTAAACATTTCAGCAAATATTCATTGAGTAATTAACTAGGAGGTATCAGACTGGCTCTAGGTAGATGCTCTTAAGAATAAAAGGATGAAAAACTTCCTGCCTCCCGAGACTCAAACTCTACTTGAGGAAATAGAAAAGGAAACATTGTTTTACAGTACTAGACAGAATGAAATAAGTAAAAAAATAGGTCAAGAAAGGTGCTATGAGAATGTAAGATGAAAAGCAACTCATTGTGTCAGAAAAGATCTGTAAAGTTTTCATATATGTCTATCTACCATTGGGTACATGTAGACATTCGAGGATTTTACTCTGTCTCAGTTTTGATAAATCAGTATTAAACTTTCTGAAAAAAAAAAATCCAGAATTACATATGGCCAGAGGTCTGTCTTATCGCATAAGAACAAAGCCAAAAATTACATCTCTTTTTGAGGTTGCTATTACTTCTTCAGCAAAGTGCTCAGAACACAGTAACCGCTTAACAGTTGCTAGTTAGATGCAGCTTGTAGGACTTTGCATAGGCTGAGTAAACAAGTTTTAAGAGTACCAATCATTACCAATTTCTTGAATCAAATTCCATCAAAAAGGGTAAATGCATATTTTTAAATCATCTTATCCTGATTTAAAACCTGTAATTAGAAGACCTCATTTTCCAGGAAGAAAAAAAACAATTCTTTTGGAATTCAAGATGACATCAGATAGCCACAAAGGTCAATCCCAGTTCTGTGATTCCCAACTCTGAGGTCACCTTCTACCATCCTCCACTCCCCGCAAATGGTTTTACCTGTTAAGAAATTCAAATTCCACAGGTAACTTTTGTGACAGACTGGAAGCTTCTAGTCAAAAATATATAATTGGAAGAGCTGCAAGAAGGACTCAGGACTGATTATTTTCCGGAAGTACAACTAAATGTTAATTATGCCAAGGCCGAATTGTCATTTTTCCCACAGGCATTCTATAGCAACCAGGTGAATAATACTTTAAAAATGCTATTCAATAGGTTAACTTATTTAGTTTCTTATGGGTTTGTTTGTGGCTAACATCTTTCTCAAAGTGGAATCCATTAGAGGAACTATATGAAGGGTTTATCATGAAAGAGGTTAGGGTTCAGTGATGGCTATTGTAAATTTACAACTATTTATGTTACTAAGTAATTAATGTTGGCTTCCCCACTAGATTCTAAGCTCCATTAAAACAGGGGCACTGACTTCACCACTGTGTACAAGTCAGTGGTTTTTGGTATATTCACAAGTTTGGGCAACCATCACCACTAATTCCAGAACCTTTTCATCACTCACCGAAAGAAACTGTACCCATGATCAGTCACTCTCCATTCTCCCCTTCCTCCAGCCTCTGGTAACCTTGAATTTCCTTTCTGCCACTAAAAATGTGCCCATTTTGCATATCTCACATACAGGGAATCATAGTAAGTAGTTTTTTGTGAATGCTTTCTTTTACCTAGCATGATGTTTTCAAGGTTCATTCATGTAATAGAATGTATCAGTACTTTTCATGGCTACATAATATTCCACTGAATGGATATACTGTATTTTGTTTATCTGCTCATTGGGTAATGGACATCCGGATTGTTCCCACTTTTTGGTTATAAAAAGCTTCTATAAAAATTCATGTAAAAATTTTTGTATGAATGTGTTTTCGCTTCTCAGGTATACATCTAGGAGTGGGATTGCTGAGTCTTTTGGTAATTTTATGTTTAACTGTTTGAGGAGCTTCCAAACTGTTCTTGAAAGAGGTTGCACCATTTTACATTCCCACTAGCAATAAAAAAATAGGCTCCAATTTCTTCACATCCTCTTATTTTTCATTTTTGGCAATAGTCAAAACTTCAAATGTATGTTCTCTTTGATTCAGCCATTATACTTCTAGGAAATTATTTGAATAAAAATACATAAGTAGGCAAACCTTTCTGTACAAGAATATTTACTGCAGTATCAATGGCAGCATTACAATATTTGAAATAATCTATATCTCCAATTATAATTAGTTGAATAAATTCAAAAATAGAATGTATATTTTCCTTTTAAAAATATATGAATGTGCATGTGTTTATGTGCAAATATGCACATATATACATAGTCATAGAGAAAACGGTATGCGGTGATTACCTCTGGGACTCAGGAATGGGGGAAAGGACTTTGATTTTTTTTTACTTTATATGTGATTGTGATATCTGATTATTTTGCGAAATCACTGTTAGCACTTTTACAATTTTTAAAAAAAGTAAACTTATGGAGTTTATATTCCTCTTCTGAATTGGAAGCTAGCCATCAATGTATTTCAACTGTGTACTAAAACACGTTGAAAATATTTTTGTAAAGTGTTCACAGGATACCAGCTATTTTTCTTTGGGGTAGAAGTGGTTTTCAGCTTATCTAACACTCATGAATTAAGGTACATTTCATAATCAGAAGAGAAGGAAACTATGAATGAGATTCTGTATACTATGGTTGATATCTGCAGATTAATGACAGATGTGGGACAATGACACAAGAGTAAATTCTGAGCTCCAAAGTATAAACTGATGGAGGGACCTTGTTTTTGTTGATAACCACAAAAGAAAAGCATCTAAGGCCCCGAGGAACAACAACCTTTTGCAAGAGTCCCTGAGTGGTGCAGGCGCTATTCATGATCTTAAAAGATTCAAGTCTTCGCCTAAGAGAAATCCTGGAATTCAGCTTCCCTGGGGTGCTCACGCAGTTACCAAACTTCTCAGGAATGCAAACGACGAAAAAATCACATTTACAAAATAGCTCCTCTGTTCCTGGCATTGCTATGTCCTTCCAGAGAAGGACAGTGCTATGGTTTAAATGTTTATATCCCCCTCAAAGTTCGTATTTGAAATCCTACCCCGCAAAGATGGTGTTAAGGAAGTGAGGCCTTTGGGAGGTGCTTTATTCATGAGGGTGGAACCCTCATGAATGGGATTAGTGCCTTATAAAAGAGGCCCCAGAGATCTCCCTAGCCCCTTTTGCCATGTGAGGATACAATGAGAAGTCTGAGACCTGGAAGAAGGCTCTCACCTGACCACACTGGCACCTCGATCTTGTACTTCCAGCCTCCAGAACTTTGTGAAAAAAATCTGTTGTTTATTAGCTACCCAGTCTGGTATTTTGTTACAGCAGCCTGAACAGACTAAGACAGATACTATGTACAAAATTTAAAAGACCTGGTTCAAGTCCTGGTTTTTCTCCTTCATGTGAGCCTGAAGTAAGCCACACACTCTCCATGTCCTTATTTCTTAGCCTAGAAAGGAGCTCTATGCCAATTCCTTTTGTAGGTTTACACAAGGCTGAGATGTGGTCATGCTGGGTCAAGAGTTTTCAAAGCTGTGAAGTCCTCAATGAATGGGAAAGTATTTTAGTACAAATGTGATTCTGTACTATTTTGAAAGTGGGAAATTCTCAAGGATGAGTTTATGTTTTTTCACTAGTTCTGGTTTAGTGGAACACTATCTATTTATTAGGACGTCAACGAAAGTGGTGTTTTATTAAGTTTTATATATGGTAATCATTGCCGGCCACTTCTGACATAAAGTGTATTAGATGTAATTCTTCTACACTGGCACGCTCAGATGATTTTATTAAAATAATAACATTTTTAAGTGCCAAAAAATTAAGAAACAATCCTGTTTAACTTACTAGAGATACCATCATGGCACAGACTGTAGATATTCTTTACATCTTCTACGACAATAAAATGAAGCACTGCCTAAATGTAGTAAAAACACTACAAAGAGGTAAGTATTTTGCAGGCAAGAAAACCTTTTATTTTAAACCACAAATAGTCAGCAGGTGGCCACAACTATCCATGTTTCATTAAAATCACATAACCCTAGGTACAAAAGCACCACTGATTATTGCTCTAGAAAAACTGCGTGGAAAAATTCAAATATGCACAGTAAAAACACCACAGTATGCACAGGACTAAATTTTTAAAGCAAATGCATGGAATGCTGAATCAATTTTACACAGAGCTTCCAATATTAAATTGATATTTATTTTACTTAAGGACAATGGAAATTTCCAAAAAAGCACAACTATGAGAAGGTAAAATGTCCATTCTTATATATTTTTGTATGCCAACTAGTAGAGTCCTAAAAAATTAGCATTTACAAAATACTTGGTAAAAATAGCTTTAAAAGTTGTCCCAAGAGGTACATAAAATCAACCCCAATTTTTCATGACAATTCATTCTCCCTCGTTATCTACAGATTCAGTTTTCTGTGCCTGGAAAAAAAAAGAAAAAAAAAAAAGATATAGTTACTATTAAAACTACTATAAGGCAAAGAAAAGTCCACCCCACCAACACACACACTTTTGAACATCTGTTTTTTAGCAGAAATACCACAAAACCTGTTTCAACTCTAGGTGTAAAACAGACAAGGCAGGAATATATTACGCAAACACTTTGCTGCATTTATTGCTTTCTGCTTTTCAAACGACCACAGAAGCTTTACCTGCAAGCTCCCACTGTTCATAATAAAAAACACCACACTACTATCTGATTCTAGTCACTGCAAACATGCAGAATTTTCTACTGTACCCTTAACTCTCACTGTTTCAATCTGCCCCTTTACTGACAGTGTGCTGGGTAGGGTACCTCTGGAGGTTGAGACATTAACAGATGAGCGAGAGATGTGGATCTGCAATAACATTACAGGCAATGAAAAGAGACATTATGAACGTGCTATCACCGGCTGAAGAAGGATCGAGCAATTTCTTTTAAGACACTGATTCAATCAGTGGGAGGTATTTATGCAAAGTACCTCTTCAGCTTTAGTTTCACCATTTTCAGATGGTGTAGTACCTTCCTTTTCAGCTTCCTGCTTTTCCTCCTTCTTCCCTTTAGCACCTTTGTTAATCTTTGTTCCAGGTTCTTTCTAACAGAGGATCAAAAGCACAGACAGACAGTATGTTAGACATGTGAGACATTAGCTAAAATCCGTCAGCCTCGGACCATACACAAGGTAAAGCAGAACCATGGCCAACGTGGTGGCTTTTAGGGGAAAACGGGGTGGTTTTGCTGGGTATCAACTGAGTTACAATGAATCACTATGAAAATCTAAATCTAACAGGCAGCTTAGAAAGTCCACTGGACCTTCCCTTCTGGGAAAACATGGTGGTTCCCTTCATTTATTTGTTCAGTGGACCTTCCTCTCTCAGTGGCGTGAGAAGTGGTTCTGCTGTGAAGAGAACAGCAGCAGCAACTGGCGAAGGACGAGGCAGAAGCTGGAGAAGAAACCAGTGAGTGAAACGCCTCACGTGAGACATGGGCTTGAGACTAGAAAGCTGAGAAAAAGCTTGAAAATGAAGGCCTAGCTCTTGATTTTGAGACCAAGCCACAGAAGCGAGCTTTGCTTCAGAGACACCTTCTTATACCGCAATACATATGGTTTCAAACAATTCACAAGGGACAATGCTCTGAAGGGCAGAGTGGAGAAAAGCTATTTTTAATAAGTTTCTTAATAACTCCGTGCTTTAGTTTCCTCATCTGCTAAATGGGATATTTATACCCACTTCAGTAAGGTTGACATATGGGTTAAATGAGAAAAGCAATTAGAACAAGGTCTGGCATAGCAAAGGGCCATATAAATGTCTGTTGGTATTAACTGCTAGTATTAATTATTATGTGATTATTATTAATCAGACTGGACTGCTAAGACCAGTGATATGAAGTCAAAAACCCTTTTCTCAACTCCTCGAGCTGCTGGCAGCCATGCTGCCCAGGCCCAGGCTCATCTCTTGTGAGTGTCGTGTGGATGGCATGTTCATGAGGCAGCTACCAAACTCCCCTTGGACATGAGGCTTCTCAGAGCAATGTGCTCTTTCTTCAATTTATTGACCAAAACACATTCCTAGTAAAGCTTAAAATGTGCTTTCTGCCTCTTGAGAAAGCCTGTAGCAGTGCTGTTTTCTCCTCAGTACACTTAGCCTGAATCATTAAATGTGATCTTCCTTGGACGACTTTTGGATATGGAATTATAATTTATTCATTGTTTAAAAAACCAAAGTGGGGGTGGGAGCACCTCTTACCTTAGCAGATGTTTTTCTTGGTTTAGGTTCAGGTTTTGGTGGAGCGGGTTTCTGCAAAGATAAATTAAATTATACAAATACTGAGACAACCCTCAGCACCATAAAAAGAACGAAGACTACAAAAGACAATTGTCCATTTTGACTATGATCTTGTTCATTAAAAAAAAACAAACAAACATTTCGTTCTGTTTTCAGCATGAGGTAACAACAGCATAAAGACCTCTGCATTTCATAATTATTTCCATTCTGGGTTCTCAGGTGAACGGCAGATGTGATTAAAAGCTGACTATTTATTCTCCAGTCCAGAATAGCTCTATGGAACAGGTTTAAGTTTCCATCTCCAAAGTCTCTGTTCTTCCTTTTTATCACAGCACAGTGGGAAGAATAATGACTCAGGTCCTCGGCCAAATGGCTCAATGAATTCGGTCACAGTGGCCTTCCCAATAGTCTAGAAATCACAGCATAATCACAGGAAAGCCTATCTGAGAATGAAGACTGCTGCTGGAGAACTATTTCAAAATCATCTCCAAATCCTTCCACCTCTGATGTAGATTTCAAGTTTGTAGCCGAGCACCTTCCTACTTTCCTCATCTCCATGCCAGTTCAAGGTGACTGGAATCTCTTGCACACCCAGGCACTGGACTCCATACATTTTAACCTCATTTGTCCCTAGAGCTTTTAATTAAGAACATGATTATAACGATGAAATGTCCATTTTAAGCTCTCAAGGTTTAAGATTTTTCAAGATATTAGGCAAAGAGCCCAGTAGGCAACTATTTTTCTGTTGCTCTTTATGGTTCTCCTTCCTGTTCCCGTGAGCAGGGCCTACCTGTCCTATGGCCATGGTCCTTTAAACACAGGGCTTTGGACCTGGCCTGCTTCCCAGGGCCCCGAGACTGGGTAGCACATGAGGATGCTGCAGGGAAGAAAACCAGTTCAAACCTCTGGTTTTCTATAGCTATTTTAGGGCAAGTATTTCTCTTATGCAGCTAGAAAAAAATTAGTGTACCTCACTCTAAGCAGTAGGGGGGAATGGTTTTTAAATAGAAAACACTGGCCGGGGTCTCCCCCTGTGGAGAAAAATACATGTTCCTTTCAATGCCTCTAGGTGGTTCAGGTTCACATTCAATCTGGCCCTTTCTATCAAAAGCATAAAGTAAAATTGTAGATGGTTCAATTCCAGAAGATTGGCTGTTAGACATGGCCTTTCGAATTAAAAAAAAAGAAAATTGAGCTTGAAAAGTAAGGAATGTTTTTATGAATCTTCTTACCACCCTAAATCTGCAGGCTGTTCCCCAAATACAGCAGCCTGCATGACTCCTAATATTTTAGGATTTAAAAAATTTTATTTCAAACTTTGATATACTGTTAACAAACGTGTTTTGTCCATTTTCAGCAAATGATTTCCTTTTATATTATTTTCTGAGCATTCAAGTGTTTTTATGGGAGAGGAAGTGATGAGGTTTCACAGTCTGTAATCCTGCTGCCCTCTGAGGAGACTCCGTGTCAGCACCATGGGCAACGATCTCAGTGGAAGGTACTTATATTGCTGGTTCCTGGTGCTCAGGTAAAGCCTTGTTTTAAATTTTGGTTTTTAATTTACTTATAAAATCTACTTCCTGAATGAGCTGGAGATCCATGGACTACAATAGCTTTCCGTATAATCTATAGTTAAGCCTAAAAAGAGTTAAAAGGTAACTTCTGAACCATGGTGAGAGTTATTATTTGACAAAGCACACCATCTTTGAGGGGTTTTGGCAGAATCTGGATTAACTATGTACACATACAACCGTAATTCCCACCTCTTCACCTTCCTGGTGACTCTGATATCGCTTCCTTAGGTTGGGACTCACGTGAAACACTGACTCACTCAACTCAAACTCAGTTATACTTCTGAACTTGTAACTGGTCCTAATACCCATTTCTGTTTTGATTCCCTAACCTCTGCAAAGCATGGGTGTCGGCTGAGGATGAAATCCAGGCTTCCCTGTAGGCCAAATTGGCTTGCAGCTCCTATACTATCTAGTATGGAGATACATGCTGTTAGCCAAGAGGTCATTGTCTTTCCCTCTACATCTCAGTGGGCAGCGTGGGCTGCAGGTATTTTAACGAAAATCTTCCACCAAAGAGCCAGGCTGACCTGTCTTGGCAGAACAGGCGGGTGGACCACCAAAAGGCAGCAGATAGGAGCACAAGAACCAGCAAGGACTACGGAGTGGTGAGAAGAGCTGGAGCACACTCACAGCTGAGGCTTGGCCACACTTGCTCATCCCCAGCTTTAATGATCTAACACTCATCTCTTCCCTGGGCCTGGCCCATAGAGGGAGACTCCAAGTGGCAAAGTGGAATCATTACTTTTTTAAAGATTCTCTAGTTCAGAAATGAGGCTAAAGCGTATGGAGTCAGAATACTTTCAGAACATTTGGACTAAAGAATGAGTCGTGCACAGAGAATAAGAGTTCTTGTCCACTTTCGCACATCCTATGTATTGAACTGAAAGGCTACGATTTTGCTTAACGTACTTCTTTTCTTTCAGGGATCTAGTTCCAATATCAAACGACTTCCTGTGATTTATATTCTTGGTAATGGGGCTGGCCACTGTTTTTCACCAACACATCTGACGAAGGGAATCACTTGGCAACAATGGTCGAATTTACTAAAGATCGTGACCATAATTTCCAAAATGCAAACAAAAACCCAAAGGAAACACTATCTTAATCTCCCTTCTGCTGCTTTGCTCTGGACAAAGGAAGTAACACCAAACGGGTCCTAAAGTACTCACCGCTGACAATCTGGCAGACCGTCTTGTGGGCTACAAAGGAAACACAAAGTATATATCTATATATTGTTGATGATTATACACACATTGATTTTTTAAAAATTCATTAATATCTTACTGTGTTGAAAGAATGCAATGTATGACTCCCATCACCCTCTCCAGGTTGAGCACAGTGAAACATACCCCAAATAACCCTCGGACCCTAACCAAGAGAGAAGTGTTTCTAAAGAGGTGTAGGCACACTGTTGAAAGAAATGGCCTCTCCCATTTAAGGGAATTAAGGGTGTGGCGAGAAAGGAAAGGAAAGGAAGATTGATTTAGGCTCTGACCCAAACCATTATCTCTACCCGAGATTGACAGCAGGAGTACTGAGGTGCTATTTAAAAACTAGTCTCCACTCTTGTTCCTCACAAATGGAACCAAAGCTTGTAAGTTAATACAAGAGACTTATATAACTACGTAGAAACCAAAACATCAGGAGTTCCCTGCCTTGTTAAAATAGAGAATAACTACAAATCTTAAAGGCAGTTAAAGAGAAAGCCTTCCTTTTATCTGTAACAAAAATAAACATTTATTTATCTACTAATTGCATATGTTTAAGATTTACATAGAGTAAAAAGTTCGCTAATATTTTCTTTTAATTTGGAAGTTTAGAAAATTTAGAGAGAAACTGTGTTGAGATCGATGTTTTTCAGGAAATCTTTTCTGCAATGATGGTGCAAGTTAGCAAATGAGATGGCAAAGAAAATTTAAAATAACAAAACTCTTCCAGGCATTTTGGAAATAAGCATACAGAATTGATATTCTACTTACTTTCAGTAAAAGATGGCTCCCCAAGGGATTTCATATTCTGTAAGTACAACTGTCTTTAAAAGTGTTTCAGAAGTAAATACTCCATATTTTTTTGTTTTATTCACTGCTTTATCTCTAGTAGAATACGGTGCCACCTAACATACAGTACTCAATAATATTTGCTTAAAAAAATGAACTCAAGCTTTTCTCTTATTCGCTGCTTTATACAGACTTTGCTTCATTACAATAGCTTAAATAATTGTTCAAAAGGGGCAGCAAAAATGATCAGTAGAAGCCCATGTCATGAGTGCAAGGAATCATGAAATTGTTGAAGCTGTGCTTAGGTCAGTCTAGGTCATCTGGTCAGGCCAAACTGGAAGAAATATTTCTTGCCATCTCCACATTTAAGAAATTTCTTGCTGAAAATAACCACAGGAAGCTAAACTCATCTTTCTTTAAACCACAGAAGGAAATGAAAGGCCTTCATGAATAATTTTAACCCTGGGGTCTCAAGGAAAGATCAGAGCTGGACTTAAGGCCAGCTAGCAGAATGTGCCAAGCCTGGGAGACTATGCAGATTAAATGGTGGCTGTGATATATCACTGCGTAG